AGAAAAAAGGTGGAGGCAGCTTCAAATTTAGAGCTGGGGAGAGGACATATGTAAACAGTCTTGGGTGGGGGGGCATTTTGGCCACTTGCTACAAATGACATATATGAGTTAAGAACCAAATTGCCATGGCAAAATTCCCCCCCTAGGCTAGATTTCTAGGAGGCTCCTGCACCAATATTCCCTGCCACCTCTGGCAATGCTCATACAGCTGGTTCCACCCTCCCCTCCACCAAGCAGGCTGTTGCTGTGAGGATGGTAGCTGGAAGAAAAGAGATGGATGCCCACCATTCTGTGTCACACAGTGCAACACCTGGCAAAAAGCACCACATTGTGGGGCATAGACTGTGATGGAATAGGGTACCTTCATCCAGCACTTCTGCCACTGCTGTAGCAGCATTAGTGGCAGCCGTCTGCCTAGAAAAGGTGGACTGCTAAAGTAGCAGAATGGACCTGTGACCAGGTAAGCGAGTGAGCAACAAACCAGCTGGAGGAGATGGAGGGTGGCAACTACTGTAGCAGTGGTTTTGGCATCAGCAGGCCCTCCTCAGGAGGGACTCCCTTCCAAAACTTTTCCAGCCATGTCTATTGTTTTGTTGTATCAGCGGGTCTCAGTAAAGGCAACCAGAGCCACCTTATCAAAAAGCGTGACTAGGGTCAAGATTTGATTCAGAATAATTAATGAGTTCCTGGCAAAAATCGGAAGTAGTCTGTTGAATGGCTGGGCATGCCCCATCACAATTCCCAGTGGGCCACAATTCTTCCAGTTAAAGCTGACTAGGGTTCAGTATAAGTGACTACAACTGGAGTCATGTACCACCTCTGTTAAGGTCTTTAAATTAGGCTTTCTTGATAATAATGCTAACAGAGAATGAGGACTAGATGCTTTGCCTAATTTGAACATTTAAATGCTCATCTGGATCAAACTCCAGCCATGAAAGCATCTGCTTCAGATTGATGGTACAAAGTTGTCATTTGGAAGATATTATTATGGCATTTAAATAGGCTTTGAAAGAAGTCAGGGGCATCCCACATGCAGTTTGATGTACAATTGACAGAGAAAGCAGGATATTTGCAAATACTGGTATATAGGATGGGGAGCAAAGGGGCAGGACAAAAATAAGGGGCTGTCCTCCAACTGTTGAAGTGTTCCTTAAAGTATTTCTTAGGCCTTTCCCTATAAGCCAGCCAGCCAGTATTCATTGTCCAGCAATATTCTGTTCCATTTGTGTCCACTAATGCTCTGAAGTGGCAACCATCCAGGTCCCGTTTGTGGTGACTGAATGGATCTGTTACGGATTTTAGGTATTCAATTCATTTGCAAAATTGCTGTTCTGGTGAGTCACGAGAAGTAATCAGAGAACCAGCTATGTGCCTTTATAGAGCTGTCTGAAAAGATGGCTGGTGGTTGAAAGCTTAATAGTCAGGGAGTTGAAAGAAAATTCCAAGGTGATGTCATGGTTTGGTCAGCTGGACAAGATTACATTTTATTTCAGGAGCAGCCTTGATTTCATGCATCAAATTTATATTTATCATAATGGATTTATGATAGTTGGCTTTATATCCAGATGTTTTACCAAATATGTCAAGCCAACAATGGATGGGAGATGTAGTGCATCATATCAAAGAAAAGATCCACTTTATGCTCAGTATGGTCACACTCGGCTCACTTTGTTCATCTGCAGAGCATCTGCTAAGGATTCCACTGTCAAGACATACAGCAGAAAGCTTTGTCTAATACTTCTTTTGAGATGAAAGGAATAGCAGTCAAAATTATGCACTAAAACCAGCCCACAGGAATGTTGGTAATTAGTATGAATGATTGTGGCAGAGGTAGGCCTAAGATTCATCCTAAGAAGCAAATGCTTGAGGTATGGCCATTCGATGCAATCAAAAACTTTCTTGGGGCTGAAGCCAAGTTGGTTGTTTTGTCTGCTCTTGCTTTGTAAACAACATCAAGCATGCAGAACACTTTGTCCACCAGGCACCTTCATGGGACGAATTCCATTTGATCAGAGTGGATGTACTGGGTGATGCTGTTGTCCAGACTGTCAGTCAAGACAGGAGTAAAGTTCTTCAAGTCCTGATTGATCAAGGATATTGAGCAATAAGAGGCAGGCACAGGTTTCTTTTCCTATTTTATCTCTCCATCTTTTCCACCACCCACAAACAACAACTATCCAAAAATATGCAAAAAAGGATAATTGCTAAGCTATCAGAATTATATACAAATATGCCCAATTGACATATACCTTTCTTATTGAATTATTTGCTTGGTTACTCTGGCAAAAGACAAGGACACTGTCTACATAGTAAGGCTTCCTAGGGGATTATAAATATAATATTTATATTATTCAAATAACAGCTAAATACACTGCTTTTTTGCATGAAAATTGTAACTGTAACTGCTGGATGTTAGGAATCAACAACAGGGCATGACTAATTAATCTTTTGCAGAGTTTCTAGTCATCTGACTGAGCTCTACTAAAAACAAAAAGCATGGACTAGAGAGCTCTGTGTATGATCCCAAAATGTGATTTTTATGTTCCTAAATGCAGCCTAAGCAAGCAGGCCTAGCTATGGCAGAAACCAAACAATTCAAACTCATATAATGGCATGTGGAAGCTCACATCTTATGCTCAGACTAACCACATATGTCCTTACAAGTCATGTAGTAAGAGCCAAATGACGGCATCCAAGAAAAATAGCCACAGCATTTGAGTCAATGTTAAATAAATGAAGCTAAAAATGCATCCTTTGAACTATGAGGAAATGTGGTCTGTTTCTTGTTGGCTACAACCACTGCCCCATCAAAGCATAAGAGCCATGAAACAATCCTTTTCTAGATACAGCACCAAATCATGTGTAGTGACACCAAAGTAAGCCATGGGTGTAACCTGTTGTCAAACTGGGTGGGGCTTTTTATTTTTGCCTTATATATGTATCCTGGCCTTCCTCAGCAGTATCTAAACTGGTCTAAATGCGAGTCTGAGAGGTTTTCCATTCAGAATCAAGCCAATCAAAATGTCCTTTGTTTCCAAGAAAGAATGAAAGCAGCACCGTTATCCTACTCACTGTCTCCAAAAGGACCCATGTTTTTCATTCTCCATCTATAAAATTACCTAAGTGAACCTCCCAGACAAGCCCACAGACATTGAAGACTAATATAAAATGGTAATTAGTGGCATGCCTACATGTATTTATGTTAATCATGTGTACTCTATAAAAGAAGAATTATTAGACTATTTTTATTATATTTGTGTTTTTATGCATTGTTATAAACTGTCAAAGAGTTCTGACTATTGCACAGTATAGAAATTAATTAATTAATGAAAGAGAGAGAGAGAGAGAGAACCCACTTTGGTAAAACATCCCTAACATGTCATTTGGAGGCATTTCTTACTGACCACAGCCTAAGTGGCTACTGTACAAATAGGGCAAAAATTGTTTATGGAAAAGGAAATAGGTACAAGACACTCAAAAACCTCACAGAAAGCCTAACACATCCAGAATTTTGGCTGCAGTTCCAACCACAGTTCAAAAGAAAGTGATAGCATCACACACAATGGAGGAAGGGGAAGGGTAAAAGCAGGCATAGTGATCCAAGTTGTTCTACCAGGGTAAATCAGCTTCAGGACCCATTTCATACATGACATTATACCTACGTGGGTATATATACATTCATATATCCCACTACAAGAAAAATCATAAAGCTCTCTCTTTTACCTCTAAGGGCAGGACGATGGGAACCTTCCAGTGAGGCCTGAGATGGAAGGAAGGAAGATTCATTTACACCTGGGTTCTCCTCCTCAGAAGGCTTGTTCACTTGCTGCAGAGGAGAGCCAGAGTTATCTTCCATAATGTGCCTTAGGATGCTGCCTTATCCCAGCTCAGACTAGTTGTGCATCTGACCGCAGTATTGCTTCTCTAGCCTTCCCCAAACCAGTGTCTCTGCAGATGTTTGAACTACAACCCCCATCATCCCTCATCACGGACCATGCTGACATCTAGAGATCACAGGTTAGAGAAAACTAATTCATCTGGTTGCAGCATTCCAGGGTCTTAGGCAGAGAAGGATCTCTCCCATCTGCTTCTACCTGATTTTCTCAACTGGGACTTGTGCTTGGAGCTGAACCTGCAGACTCCCATAGCCAAGAGAAGTGCTGTGCCTCTAAGCTGTGGCCCCTCTTTTCCCACACCACACATGCCACCAGCCAGTCTCACGATCATTTCTAGTCCTGTGATCATCCTCAACTACACACCCCTCACCATGACAACTGAGCCATTGCTCTTTGCATCTCCAAACTCCAGGGCATCCTGTCTCCAGTACAAGACACTTATGGTCCCTGATGGGCTACAGGTCCTTGATGTTGTCCCTTGTGGTCCCTGCCAGCATCACTGCCACTGCTGCTTATGTTAGTTTGATGCTTGTTATCAAACTGTGGCTTCCTATACAGAATAATGGGACTAATCTCCATGATGATGATGATGCTGTTGATAAACACTGGGATTTATTTTCTAAATTTGGGTAGGAAAAAAGTCATGTATGAAACTGCCCGAAAAATATGTCTCTTCTACCATTGTCTAGAAATCAACAAAGCAGAATTCATTAAAGAGTAAAGCAAGCTAATGGCATTTTCACATATGAGGTTAAATGTTTGTAAAGGAAATATAAATGATATCTTGGCAAGAAACTTCGTATTACAAATGCTTTCTCCCCTACATCTTCTATTCTATTAGCTGTGACCCAACATGCATAGAAATACCTGAGAACCTCAAAGGCTAGTTCAGCACATATATGGAATGGACACACTCACTGTGTTCCAAAGATATGGATTTCTACAGAGAGCACTCTCCTCCAAAAAGTCAACATTATACCAAAAACACTCTCAACTTTAATTCTTGTTACAGTGCAGAAAGGGATAGGCAATCTTCAAAGTGGCCATATAGAACTATGGAAACATGTTCTTTGATTAAAAAAGAAAATAAGAAGCTTTGTGTACCTTCCTGACTGGATTCAAAGCACTCTCTGGAGAGTGAATACTGACAATAGCTTCCTCTAATGGCTGCGTCATAGGTGGAATCACATTTCTATCAAGGGGAAGTGCTGGTTTTTGACCTTCTGATTCAGCAGAATCTTCACCAACCTATGACAAAACAATAAGCAGCACAATTTATTAATAGCAACCAGATCACTTCTATATTTCAATTATATACACACACTCACATCCATAGTTAAGCAGTTTCAGCTTGTTTATTAACAAAAACTGGCTACAGAAAGTGTATGAAATGTGAAATTGCTTATATTTGTTGCTTGTATATGCCACCAAACCTGGTTCAAGCTGTTAGTTATGAGCTTTAAATCCTTCAATGTTCTTAGCCCAGCACTTCTGTGCACCTATCTCTGTCAATATAAGCCTCTCTGTTCCTTCAGTACCTTCTGGGAAGGTCCTGCTGAAAGTCACCTTTCGATGCATGTAATAAAACCTTGCGGGGCTCAGCATCAAGGCAAGGCTCTCTTGGTGCAGGCACAGCAGGCTGAGGGAATTCAGATGAGGCTGAAAACTCTCCACCCCTATTTCCTCAGTCATTTAATTTGAATTTGAAATAGAGGCTGTTAAGATTTTTATTGTGTTTTTAAGCAAACACACACAAACTTTGTTTATTAAACTTGTATTCCACTAAATACTATCTGCCCTTTAAGCAGATTACAGTGAAATAAAGAAAGATGATTTTTTTTTAATTATTTCAGAGAGTATACATCACTTTGCCCTTCAGTGGAAAGGAATTGTTATTTATAAAAATGTTAATAAATAAACAAGGTTATTTTTAAATTAAAAAAAAATTATTTAATAGTGAGACAGCAGCCTCAGTTCACTGTTACAGTCAAACGGGTGACAAATACAAATGGCCTGATTAAAAGACAAAATGCTTTTGATTGTTCCCTCTTTTCCCCATGGTGCAGTCAAGACAAAAACTCTCCCCAGAGCTGCTATTTGCTCTGGGAGAAATAGCAGCTTCCCTCTCAGGCAGATACCTCAAAGTAAGAGGAGCTCTACTGGACCAAACCAAAGCCCTACCTAGACCAGCATTTTCTTCCTACAGTGGCTAAGCATGCCTGATGCCCTGGAACTGGCATAGAGAAATCCACTGCCCCAGACCTTGAGAGTTATATACAGCTATCATGAGTAGCAGCCATCAATTGCTTTATTTTCCATGAATTTGTCTAATCTCCATCAAAGCGCATGCATGTTGAGAGAGATGTGTCAGGCCCACAATACAGCGGAAAACCGTTGAACTCCTATTCCCCCTCCACTGTGAAATGGGAACCCATGGCTATTTTTTAAAATACTGTAATGCGAAATGCAAATCACATATTTTATAGAGATTTACCTGTACCAGGCTGGCCCCTTCCCTTCCCTTCCCTTCCCTTCCCTTCCCTGCACCAGGCTTTGCCCCCCTCCCCCACCACCACGCACCACTCCCTAATGTGTCAGGCATCACCTTTGAGCTTTGCTGCTCCTCTGGTCCCTGAATTTAGGGGGACTGAATCCTAGAAGATCTGACAAAGTTGTTCCAGTTCAAAAAAATATATAGCCAGTTCACATGGGGAACCAGAGTAGCAGCACAGTAAGTGTTTGCATCTACCTATGCAAATAGCTGCTTGTAATTGTCATTTTTTGAATTCAAAGAAAACTGAAGGTGTAGGGAGAAAGACTCGGTTTCTTTAATATAGCCAAGATTCCAAAATAACTTATTAACTAGCCTGTTTGCCTCAATTTAGAGTCCACTCTTCCCCTTGGTATACACCTGAATTGCGGGCGATGAAGCGGGTTGGGAGACAACTAGAGCGTAGGTGGAGGAAATCACGGGATGAATCTGACCGAACACACTTGAGAGCCCACTATCGGGCCTATGCTGTGGCGGTGAGGGCGGCGAAAAAGAAGTTTTTTCCCGCTTCCATTGCCTCCTCACAATGCCGTCCGGCAGAGCTTTTTCGAGTGGTACAAGGCCTGATGCACCCGGGTCCTAAGGAAGATCCGATGCCACCCTCAAAGGCCCGCTGTGACGACTTTGCCAGGCATTTCAGGGAGAAAATCGCTCAGATTTGTCACGAGCTAGACTCCACTAATGAATCAGAGGTCTCTGGGGAGACGCCAATGCTACCGTCTGGTCCAAAATTATTGGAGGAATTTCAATTATTGCGGCCCGATGATGTGGACAAGGTGCTTGGACGAGTACGTCCTACCACTTGCCTATTGGATCCTTGCCCGTCTTGGTTAATAAATAACTCCAAGCACAGGATTGGGACCTGGATCTTGGAAGTGGTTAACGCTTCTCTGAGGGAGGGTCGAGTGCCTGCCCCTTTAAAGGAGGCGGTAATACGACCGGTCCTGAAGAAAGCATCACTGGATCCAGAGTTGGCCACTAACTATAGACCTGTGGCCAACATCCCGTTTCTGGGCAAGGTGTTGGAGCGAGTGGTGGCGGGACAACTCCAAGCACTCTTGGATGAAACTGATTATCTGGATCCTTTTCAGTCCGGCTTCAGACCCGGGTACAGTACTGAATCTGCCTTGGTCGCCCTGTACGATGACCTGTGCAGGGAAAAGGACAGGGGGAGTGCATCCCTGTTGGTTCTTCTGGACCTCTCGGCGGCTTTCGATACCATCGACCATGGTATCCTTCTGGATAGGCTAGCGGCATTGGGGGTTGGAGGCACTGCTTTGCAGTGGTTCCGCTCCTATCTCAACGGTCGATTCCAGAAGGTAGTGCTGGGGGACTATGTCTCTGCGCCATGGCAGCTATGCCATGGAGTACCACAGGGCTCCATTCTATCCCCTCTGCTATTTAACATCTATATGAAACCGCTGGGAGAGGTCATCAGGAGGTGTGGGCTGTGGAATCATCAATATGCTGATGATACCCAGCTCTACCTCTCGTTTTCCACTAATCCAGGTGAGGCAGTGGCTGTGCTGAACCGGTGCTTGGCCAAGGTAATGGAATGGATGAGGGCCAATAAACTGAAACTCAACCCAGACAAGACGGAGGTCCTGTTGGTTGGCGGATCGGGTTTCGGAGAGGGTGGATTTGACCTGGTCCTGAATGGTGCAACACTCCCTCTTAGGGACAAGGTCCGCAGCTTAGGAGTACTCCTCGACCCGGAGCTTTCTTTGGAAGCTCAGGTGACAGCGGTGGCGAGGAGCGCCTTCCTTCAGCTTCGGCTGATTAATCAGCTGCACCCCTACCTGGAGTACGACTGCCTGGCGACAGTGACACATGCGCTGGTGACTTCCCGCCTAGACTTCTGTAACACGCTTTACGTGGGGCTTCCCCTGAAGACGGTCCGAACACTTCAACTGGTGCAAAATAGAGCTGCCAGGTTGCTGACGGGGACGGAGCATTATGCTCACATGACTCCAGTCCTCCGTCAACTTCACTGGCTTCCCATTGAAGCCCGGGCCCAATTCAAGGTGTTGGTTATGACCTATAAAGCCCTAAACGGCTTGGGTCCTGGCTACCTGAACGAGCGCTTACATCTGTATATGCCCGACCGCCCCTTGAGATCTGCAGGAGAGTCCCTTCTCCGGGAACCCTCCACGAAAGAAATTAGGAGAGTAAGTACTCGGAGGAGGGCTTTCTCTGCGGTGGCACCCAACCTATGGAATTCACTCCCCAAAGAGGTCCGCCTTGCACCGTCTTTTCTGGTTTTTCGGCGCTAGGTAAAGACCTTTTTATTTAAACATCATTTTAATTGTTAAAATATATGATCTGGCCAGGGCAACTTCTTCTTCCTTCTCTTTTCTCCTCCTATATTCTTTATTTACTTATTTTATACTGTTAATTTTAATTTTATATTATTATGTTTGTATCTCAGTGTATTTTTTGTATTTTTGTATTAAGTGGTAATTTATTATGTTCTATTGTATTTCAATGTATCTTATTGTGTTGTAAGCCGCCCCGAGGCTTCGGCAAGGGGCGGCATAGAAATGTTATAATAACAACAATAATAATAATAATAACAATAACAATAACAATAACAATAACAATAACAATAATAATAATAATAATAATAAAAACATGTTCTTTTTCTTAACATGGGTAATGCTGTTCTCACCTACCCTCCACCAGCCTGCTTATAGTTTAGATCAGGGTTGTCAAAGCATTTTCACCAGACAGCCGATTACCATTTTGTAGCACTCAAATCGCAGTGGTGGGTAGGGCTCAGAGGGAAAGGGTGACCATACCAGCACGTTTTAGTTTAAAGCTCTTATTGCCAGTAACCAAGGCTTGAAGAGGCATTTCAAGCTTTTGGGACAAGGAAAAACTGTATGAAAGCCTGGAGAGCACCAAACAATTGATGGTTGGGCAAAAGGGGGTGAGATACAGGAAGCCAAAGGGGAAACGCTATAGGCCTTGATTTAGCCCTCCAGAAGAGCCAGATTTGGCCCATATATCTGTGGTTCTGCACTCCTGGTTAAATGTTTCATAGCACAGATGCCGCCCAATGCGACCAGCCATCACATACACTGGTTTCTAGAAGCTAGAAAAAGAAAAGCTCTAGCAAACTCACGTGTGCATCTTCCTGGCTTTGCTGTTGAACTGAAGCTGGCTGTCTTACAATGTAGTTTATTTGTCCAACAATTGTTTGCTGAACATGCTGAGGCTGTTTGGCCGGATTCAACTGCAGGCTTGGTTGCTGAGCTTGGAGCAGAAGTTCCAAATCTTTCTTCATTTCCTCCAGCTCAAACTGGTGATGCATAATGTCCAGACTCTGCTGGATCACTTGTTCGTGAGCCTTCTCATTTGGCCCTGTTGTGGATGGCTGCTGTGGTGACAGCTGTGATGGTGGTGGTGGCGGTGGCGGTGGAGGCAGCAATGGCTGTTCCTGCGGTGATGGCGGCAAGTTATTCAGCTTTAGCTTCTGGAGTGGACCAAGCTGAACTTGCACTGTTGGACTATGCAGGGCAGATTGTGCAGAAAACTGCTGGGAATGGCCTGGCTGGCCCTGCTGAACCTCCTCCAGTGGCAGGGGATAAACAGGAGGCATTGTGTGGTGCACTGGCTGGTCCTGGGAATGCTTTGACATTCGGGCAGATGGGCTGTCGTGCTCCTGGTGAGACTTCTGCTCCGCACAAGGTTGCATTGCTTTCAAGAGTCGTGGGGTGCACCTCTGCTCCCTCTCATGCGGCTGCAGGCCATACTGCAAGGAGAAATGCTGCTGGTGGTGCTGCATTTCAGGCAGCTGCCGAAAAGACTGAGGGTGGCTCAAAGGAGGGGGAAGCTGTCCTTTATTCATGTGTGGGATGTTAATGCAATGGGTGCAGCACATGGGTGTTGGGCAATGGACAGGAGTCTGGAACTGGTGTGACTGGTTACTGAGAGAATCATGCTGTGGTGCTGGTGAATGTTGCCCGTGGTGATGATGGTGATATATAGAGGGCTGCATTCCTGGCATGCTTCCATAGGCTGGCACATCGGAATGATGGACTGGTCCCCCCTCCATTGATAAGTGTCCTGCAAGAAGCAACCAAGAGATGAAAATGGGGAGCAGTTCTGACAAACGGGAGACTCCACCAAAAAGGGTGAAGTCAGAAGAAAGGAGTGTATCCACCTCAGACAGCCTGATGGGACTCCAGGTGGGCCAAAGTTGGCTTACTACCCAGAGTTCAACATCCCTGCCCATGATCACTTGGGATCTGAAGAACAGGAGAGTGAATCTGGTTAATTTGAGGCAGTTGTACATCTTTTGCCCATATCACTAACTATGCTTCCATAAAAGACACTGTAGGAAATCTTTAACTTCTCTTCTGAAGACAGTAATGCCATTTTGCACATACATAAATTCACTGCTTAACTGACTAAAAGCCATGAGGGAAAGCAGAAATACCAACAGAGTTCCAATTTCATGGATATTTGGTGCTGCCTTTGGACAGTTGAACTCTGCCTGAAGTGTCCTTTTAGTCCCCAGTGAAACTATTACTACAGACTTAGCTACTGATACAATTTGGTCTTATTCATGATACATCTCCACTGTCTTCCCATCAGTCCCACTGCTCACCAGTGTTATTGGACCTTCTTGACTGTTCTGTAGAGCCATCCCTGTTTTTAATGAGCACATATTCCGAAAGATATTACCCTAGCTCAGTGGTAGAGCACATGTTTGGGTGCATAAAGTCCCAGGTTCAGTACCTAGCTTCCCCAGGTAGATCTAAGAAAAATCTTGCCTGAAACTGCAGAACCATTGCCACCAACCTGTGAGGTCAATAGTGGCTAGATGGACCAATGTTTCCTATGTTTCTATGTTCTCAACAAAGTAGTAGAATTCTCAAAGAAATAAAATCCTGAGGGATACTTCTAGGTAAATTAGGCATCACTGGGTAAATTTGACATAACACAGTTGATTTCCTCAGTTGACCAATGAAGGCTTATCTGAAAGCTTTCTGCAAAGAAACTTCAGCTAAATTTTGGCTGTGTGGCCAAAAAGGATGAATCTCAGGTACTTCTCAGAAATGGGGAAGGGAAACACTAATAATGCTGCAGTTCTTCTTGGAAGCCACTAGCTTGTGGCTGTCATCCCCTGCCCCAAAGTCCATGACAGTAAGCTACCCAACCTGGCATCCAATAGGATGGAGATAATTTTGCCACCATGCTGAAAATCACTGGAAAAACATTCTATTTCAGTACTTGTAAATGGGGCAATGAGACAGGGAGGCAATTTGCCCCTGTAAATTTGACAATTTTTGGGGAGTGGGGGCTACTGTGAAAAAGTAGTATTTCTCTATTAATTCAGTAGAAAACCCAGCAATGCACAGAATTCCAGTTCAGCTCATCTGTGGACCTAGCAACCCTTAATGTCACTTTTCTCTTGATACCTTTTGCTTATGACAAGGTGATTCAACTTTACAATGGGCGATAGTTTATACTCAAAATCAATTTAATGGTGGTATTTCATACAGTATTTTCTAACATTAGAAAACAACCCCAGCTTACACCAATCTCTTAATTAGTGACGCTTTTACAGACACATGGTAACCAAGGATGTTCACCACTGGATGCAAACCACCAACCCTCTTAATGGCATGATCAAATGCTCATAGCCATTGCATGACCACACTGGCATGTTGAGAATATGGATTATGAATCCGTACATAATTCAGCAGATGCTGAAAGTCATGTTGAGATGCTCATGTGCCAAAGGATCAACTTCCTTTGGTATGGGAACAAGATGACTTGTTCATTTGTAGCTCATCACAAGCGATGAAGGAATAATGCGGAACAGTCAGGATGCTACGGGAAGCATCGCAGCAACAATGTCCCACTTCATCCAATCTGTCCTTTGATTCTGGTATGAATCTTTATATGCTTGTTTTGAATTTCCTATGCTACCAAAGCAGCATGGGATGGAGCCATTTGAAAGTGGCAAGTGTATCATTCATATAGTGTAAGAATTAGCTATAACACACATCTCAGTCTATTTACCACACAGAAAGGGACTAAGTTTCCCTAAGGGACTCGAAGGCCCGCTGTAACGACTTTGCTAAGCATTTCAGGGAGAAAATCGCTCAGATTCGTCACAAGCTAGACTCTACTAGTGATTCAGAGGCTTCTGGGGAGATACCAATGTCGCCGTCTGGTCCAAAATTAATGGATGAATTTCAGTTATTGCGGCCTGATGATGTGGACAAGGTGCTTGGACGAGTACATCCCACCACTTGCCTATTGGACCCTTGCCCATCTTGGTTAATTAACAACGCCAAGCACGGGATTGGGATTTGGATCTTGGAAGTGGTTAACGCTTCTCTGAGGGAGGGTCGGGTACCCGCCCCTTTGAAGGAGGTGGTAGGCCGACCGGTCCTGAAGAAAGCATCACTGGATCCAGAGATGGCCACTAATTATAGACCAGTGGCCAACATCCCGTTTCTGGGCAAGGTGTTGGAGCGGGTGGTGGTGGGACAACTCCAAGCACTCTTGGATGAAACTGATTATCTGGACCCATTTCAGTCCGGCTTCAGACCTGGGTACGGTACTGAATCTGCCTTGGTCGCCCTGTATGATGACCTGTGCAGGGAGAAGGACAGGGGGAGTGTGTCCCTGTTGGTTCTTCTGGACCTCTCAGCAGCCTTCGATACCATCGACCATGGTATCCTTCTGGATAGGCTAGCGGGATTGGGGGTCGGAGGCACTGCTTTGCAGTGGTTCCACTCCTAACTCAATGGCCGATTCCAGAAGGTAGTGCTGGGGGACTATGGCTCTGCACCATGGCAGCTATGCCATGGAGTACCGCAGGGATCCATTTTGTCCCCTTTGCTGTTTAAGGTCTACATGAAACTGCTGGGAGAGGCCATCAGGAGGTGTGGGCTGCGGAATCATCAGTATGCTGATGATACCCAGCTCTACCTCTCGTTCTCCACCAATCCAGGTGAGGCAGTGGCTGTGCTGAACCGGTGCCTGGCCGAGGTAATGGGCTGGATGAGGGCCAATAAACTGAAGCTCAATCCAGACAAGACGGAGGTCCTGTTGGTTGGCGGATCGGGCTTCGGTGAGAGTGAATTGAACCTAGTCCTGAATGGGGTTGCACTCCCTCTTAGGGACAAGGTCCGCAGCTTGGGAGTGCTCCTCGATCCAGAGCTTTCACTGGAAGCTCAGGTGACAGCGGTGGCGAGGAGCACTTTCTTTCAGCTTTGGCTGATCCATCACCTGCGCCCCTACCTGGAGAATGACTGCCTGGCGACAGTGACACACGCGTTGGTGACTTCCCGACTTGACTTCTATAACGCGCTCTATGTGGGGCTACCCTTGAAGACGGTCCAGATACTTCAGTTGGTTCAAAATAGAGCTGCCAGGCTGCTGATGGGGACTGGCGTTATGTTCACATGACTCCAGTCCTCCGTCAGCTTCACTGGCTTCCCATTGAAGTCTGGGCCCAATTCAAGATGTTGGTGATAACCTATAAAGTCCTTAACAGCTTGGGTCCGGGCTACATGAAGGAGCGCTTACGTCCATATATGCCTGCCCGCCCCCTGAGATCAGCGGGAAATGCCCTTCTCCGGGAACCCTCTGTGAAGGAAATTAGGAAGGTAAGTACTCGGAGGAGGGCTTTCTCTGCGGTGGTGCCCAATCTATGGAATGTGCTCCCCAGAGAGCTCCGCCTGGCGCCGTCGTTATTTGTTTTTCAGCACCAGGTGAAGACCTTTTTATTCAAATGTTATTTTAATTGTTAATATTATTTATTCATTTTATTATTGGACCAGGGCGACTTAATTTATATTGTTAATTTATATTGTTTTATTGGATTCTATTTATTTATGGTTGTGAGCCGCCCCGAGGCTTCGGCGAATCGAGCGGCATAGAAGTCCCCTAAATAAATAAATAAATAAATAAATAAGTTTATCATGCAATTTACCACACAGAATGTTTACATTCTGTCAGCTTTTTAGGGAGCATAACAAATGTGATTTAAGAAAAACTACCTTAGTAGCAGCAATGGAAACAGTATTCTTAATTATATTTCACATATATTATACATGTGCACACACTCACACACACACTAAGGTTTTCACCTTAGAAGCTCTAAAATCATATGCATTTTTTACCTAAATTGGAAAGTTGTTTAGTCCAGAAAGATGGGTCCCATGAGAACCTGAGCTTCCATGGAGGACCGACATCTGTATTACAGTTTGTTTCTAGCAAACGTTGAATCTGGAACACAATCTGGTAAGAAATCACAGAATGTCCAATTAATATTTATGCTTTATAGCTTAGGGCTGCTTGTGACATATACTTAAATTAACAACTGACTGACCCTACATTTCTCTCCCTGCGTGCTTTTATATGAAGTTATCTAGGAACAACAACCCTTCAATTTACTTTTTGATCTGCTTACATATTCAAGGGGGGAATCACAAACTGAGTGAATTAAAGGAGAGGAAAGTGATTCCTGTTGAAACTGGGGGCTCCTGAGCCAGCTAGCCTTCACCATGAGAGACATTTTCTTCTATGCAGACAGGATTAGGATGGTTGTGTCTGCTGCTGCTGCTATGCAGACTTAGATGGTAAAGAGAGTAACCTAAAGATCAGTGGTTACCTGTGAATGTCCCAAAATAGTGTACAAGGAAGCATACTACACTCTAGAATTCTATATCTGTGTAGATGGCAGTTGTTAATTTATGTAATAAGACTTTACTATCTAAAAGAAAAAAGTCCTTATTATCTTGACCAATCTGCCCAAATCCTTTCCCCATAATCACAGCAATTTTTAAGGATGCAATCCTGTGCAATGTTTGACTGGCTGACTGAGAAATACTGGGAGTCGTAGGATTTTCTCTATCTAAACATTCACCTTAAACATGTTCTCTCCTAATCAAATATCTTATCTAGAATACACTAAGCCAGTCTTCAGAAAATCAGGATGAGCATGAGATCTCTTCACACAAGGCTGATTTGGAATACCATTTGTTCTCCAAAAGTACCATTCCTTTGAGTTTAACAGACATTTATATATTTACAATATTTGTATACTGCTCCATATCTACATAGATTCCAGAACAGCAGACAGTAAAAAACAGATAAAAGAATAACAACTCCCAGGTAGTTATCCACAGGATTGCACAGCAAAACACTCAGGTGTTCACTGTACAAAGCCATTTCAGAGGATCAGATATTTTTCAGGGCATTTCCTTTTTGCAGTCCACCTGTATAACTGTTGTATTTTATCACTTCCTTTAGTTGGTGTATAGTAATATAATGTTTTGTTTTTATTGATTGTACATCATCATGCATTTTGGCATAAAATTAATAAATATTATAAATACATCCATCCATCAATGGATTCATGACTTCTGAAATGTGCTCCGTCATCAATCCATGCAGGTCTCTCAACTACTATAGATGAAGGGAGTTGGAAGACCAGGCCAAATCATGTGGCTTGCATGATGCAAATCGTAGTGTGATAAGCATATGAGAAAAGATGTCTGATCTTGATCCATTTCCTTATTTCCTTTACTGAGTTATCATGAAAGCACCACATTAGACACAAAAAGACTTCTGTCTGCTACCATAGATGGTGAATGTTTTTGAGAGCAACTAAAGGTATAATACAATCCAATGCAAATTTAGGATCTTAGCATGCTGAGAGTTGTAGGCCTTTTCTTGCTCTAAACTTGCATAGGATTGCTCCTAATACACTGATACAGCATGGTGAGCACCCTCAATCAGGAATGAGTACAAAATTCATTTAATTTTCATTTCGATACAAAGCAATACATGTACAGGAATGCAATGTTCTCCTTCAGTTCTCACACTTCGCCAAAATTTGTAATGCGCATCTCCAATCACAACCATGTGAACATTTGAGGAAAGCGCATACAAAAAATTTCTATATACCCAGAAAGGGAGACAGCTTTTCATGCAAACAAACACAGAAATGAGATGAAATGAACTTGTATTGGGAAAAGTGCAAACATTAAAGATTAAAGTGCAAACATTAAAGAAGGCAAGAGACAGATTTTTCCTCTCTAGTCTCAATTCGCTTAAGGGGTTAGGGATGAGCAAATCAGTCCACCCTATACAATCCTTCAAAATGTGATTAAAATCAAGCCAGGAGCCAAGGAAGTGTTCCAGTCCTGCTTCACCCCTCTCCCTGGTATCCATCACCCTCTTGCATGGAAAGCAACTCTCTAAAGAAGACAGCCTCCCATCTTACTGGAAAACTAGGATTTTCATAGGTGAGGATGGAGAGGGTTACGATGAAGAGGGATGATACCAGAATAACATCTCCCCTCATACATTGCTTTTACACTCCTCTGAACAACCCCATGGGGCCCTTTGGTTTCCTATCCACGTCACTTTCATATATGTTTAATGATCAATATATTTCTTCTTGTTTGTATGTTAATCTGAGAATTAACATATATTAGTAATGACATCCTGATTAATAATAAGTAGTTTATCCTACTTATAATTTTTTAAATATGTTTGAATTATTATTTTTCAAAATATGTAAATATATTTTCTCTTGAAAATCTGCATTTTAAAATACGATCATATTTTCTGAGAATTTTTAGAAAATGCAAAAGCTGGTGAATAATTATGTTCTGGTCCATTCATTCATTAATGTGGAAAATCTGTTCATATCTGAATTCACAAAGCTCTAACTCCTCAAGCTTCTTCCTGTGGTGGCCACAGCAAGTACTTTTCCAATAAGAATCAACATGGGTAGCATCGTGAACCATCGCTCCAAAGGAAAAAGAATGGTTGCTTGTGCCTTATCTATTTTTTAGGTTTTTCTTCAAAATACTTTCCTCCTGACCTTTGGGCTTGGCTTCTGGGAGTGACATGCACCAGTACTCTTAAAACACTGGGAAGCAGGAGTACACGCCTGGTTCTCAGTGCTGAAGAAGTCCTTCTGTGTGGACTTCATTTTCATTTTCTCAACTTCATTTTCACCACGGGGAGCACTTATTCTTACCAGTTCTTTACTGAAGAGGAATGGAACACTGTTTTTACTGCACACTGCCCAGCTGAGAAAGTTTTGCACGTGTTCAAATTGCCTGTTTAACACCATGCTTCCCTGAAGCTGCTGCTCCAGTTTCTGCTTCCTTTCACTGGTGATCCTCTGTCAATAATCAGAAGCAGAAGAAGCTTAGTTATTTTTGTTACAAATTAGAATCTATATGCAGAATAGGGCATGAAAAATAGTATATAATTTATTTATTTATTTATTTATTTATTTAGTAAACTTCTATGCTGCCCCATTCACCGAAGTCTTGGGGTGGCTCACAGACATAAATAAACTTCGTTAAAATAATATAAATTAACAGTATAAATTAAGTCACCCTGGCCAAAGAATAAAATAAATACTATTAACAGTCAAAATGACATTTGAATAAAAAGTTCTTCGCCTGGCGCTGAAAAACAAATAAGGATGGCGCCAGGCGGACCTCTCTGGGGAGCGCATTCCATAGATTGGGCACCACCGCAGAGAAAGCCCTCCTCCGAGTACTCACCCTCCTAATTTCCTTCACGGAGGGTTCACGGAGAAGGGCCTCTCCTGCTTATCTCAGGGGGCGGGCGGGCATATATGGACATAAGTGCTCCTTCAGGTAGCCAGGACCCAAGCCGTTAAGGGCTGTATAGGTCATCACCAACACCTTGAATTGGGCCCAGACTTCAATGGGAAGCCAGTGAAGCTGACGGAGGACTGGAGTCATGTGAACATAACGCCCAGTCCCCGTCAGCAGCCTGGCAGCTCTATTTTGAACCAACTGAAGTATCTGGACCGTCTTCAAGGGTAGCCCCACATAGAGCGTGTTATAGAAGTCAAGTCGGGAAGTCACCAACGCATGTGTCACTGTCGCCAGGCAGTCGTTCTCCAGGTAGGGGCGCAGCTGATGGATCAGCCAAAGCTGAAAGAAAGCGCTCCTCACCACCGCTGTCACCTGAGCTTCCAGTGAAAGCTCTGGATCGAGGAGCACTCCCAAGCTGCGGACCTTGTCCCTAAGAGGGAGTGCAACCCCATTCAGGACTAGGTTCAATTCACTCTCACCGAAGCCCGATCCGCCAACCAACAGGACCTCCGTCTTGTCTGGATTGAGCTTCAGTTTATTGGCCCTCATCCAGCCCATTACCTCGGCCAGGCACCGGTTCAGCACAGCCACTGCCTCACCTGGATTGGTGGAGAACGAGAGGTAGAGCTGGGTATCATCGGCGTACTGATGATTCCGCAGCCCACACCTCCTGATGACCTCTCCCAGAGGTTTCATGTAGACGTTAAACAGCAAACGGGACAAAATGGACCCCTGCGGTACTCCATGGCATAGCTGCCATGGTGCAGAGCCATAGTCCCCCAGCAGCACCTTCTGGAATTGGTCATTGAGATAGGAGTGGAACCACTGCAAAGCAGTGCCTCCGACCCCCAATCCCGCTAGCCTTTCCAGAAGGATACCATGGTCGATGGTATTGAAAGCCGCTGAGAGGTCCAGAAGAACCAACAGGGATGCACTCCCCCTATCCTTCTCCCTGCACAGGTCATCGTACAGGGCGACCAAGGCAGATTCATATAGCATGAGTATATAGTTAAAAATAATCTTCACCCAACATCAAGCAAAAACGAGTGGGGACAATATGCACTGTGACATGAATGCTAATATAAACTACATTGGACTAGCATGACAGACTTCTAGTGAAACACCAATGGGTCTTCTGCAGAATCCCACTGATCAGTCTAGCCCTACTGCCTTTCAGCTAGAGTTCTCTTATGCTAGTGCAAAACAACACTAGTGTAGGCAGAAACTTTCTTTTCAAGAAGGCCTTTGGTATATAAGCAAGTCTGCTGGGTTGGACAAAGGCTGTGCTTTGTTGTTGTGTATTTAACTGTATTTTCATATTTTGTTAATTATTGTTTTGTCAAGTTTTATTTATGATTGTAAGCAGCTTTTATTTTCCTAGTAAAAATATGGGGTCCAACTCAAATAAGCAAATAATAGACTTCGAGCTGGGCATCCTCCAAACTCATGCAAAAGCCGATGGGTGCCCTTTTCCCCAGTACATCCCATTCACTGCCACAGACTCCCACAACAGTTATGCATGGATTTCTCTTTCCACATTTTCAAAATATCTGCATCCCTTGGTCACTGAGTTCACCCCATAAATGTTCCGCCTTTTATTAACTGAGGATCCTTTTTATGTATTATGTGTTAGCTACTAGAACCATCTTACTTACCTCTAGCTGTTCAAGAAGAACATTTGCTCGCTTATTTATTTCACTGATCAGGACCATCTTGGCCATTTTGATCTGATTTTCAACCTTCCTTTGCAGGTGTTTTACTTCAAACAATCTGTAGAGAAGGAGCCATCAACAACTTCATTATATTTATTTATTTATTTAAAACATTTTTGTGCCGCCCCCATCACAACGAAGCCTCGAGGTGGCTCACAACAGAAACCTGTGTGAGAATGCTTGAAAGATAGCATCCTTGTGAACGTTTTAACAAATCCTGTTAAACTGACTGACAGCATACCTTCTGTTCTAGAAAGCCAGCTTGCGTATGGAATTTAAAGTATTTGGTACTATGATCAAGCTAATATTAAATTTTAATCCTGTGTGTATTGCTGTTAATTTAAATAGCATGCTTTACAGCAGGGGCAGTCAATGTACAGTATGTGGGTTGCATGTGATTCCTGTCACCCTGGAAAAATGCTTCTGAACACAATGGAGCACCTAAAAGATCAAATATACCTTGTTTGCAAATTAGATTCGACCCTTCTAGGGATACAGAATCAAAGAAAAGTACCAACAGAAAGAAGTGAGTGTCAAACTACTCCCCTTCCTTGAAAGAAATTGCCCTGGAGATGTCCTTATTTCAGTTCAGTTAATGAAACCATTAAGGGTGAAGAAGACTACTCTTAAAAAGAAAATATGAGGCTTCCCTCAGAGATTTAGACTGTTTGAACACACAACAGCAAATGTGGCTTAGAAGTGGCCTAAGATGTACAGTGCCATGTGAACTGGGCTCGCTCTGAAGGAGCTGTTATGCTCAGTGGGTTCATGACTGCAATGCAGTCTGAACTAAAGTGGGGGCATGCCCTCAGGGTGCTGTGAATTATCCCTTCCTGCTGCTAAGAGCATTCCAAGGAAAGAACTTCTTACTAGGATTCAGCTCCTTATGAAAGAGGTGTCTTCAAAGTTACCTGTCTTCAATTTGTTTGACTGAGACCTGCATTCCACTTTTCTTCTCTTCCACTTTAGCTGATACGTTTTCCAAGATGACTCTCTGGTTTTGCAAAGCTTCCTGAAGATATCTGAATCTAGGAAAATAAAGACACACCTCTGTGTTTTTCCTCTTTCACTAATGCACATAATCCCAGGTGCAAAACCTAGACCAGAAGGATAGGGTAACTTTTCAGAACACTTGATGTCCCTGAGGCATGGGCCCAGTTAGCTTCTCCTCCCATGCACCACACCCTTCTCAGATCCTTTCCCCACTACTCAACTGTTTCTCCTGTTTTTCACGGCTGGGCGCTGCAGGGGACAAGATCTCGCCCTGGTTAGCTTTGATGGCAGCGGTTAAACTTCTCTTTCCCACAATCTGCCCCTTGGTATACTATTCAGTGAATTGAGAGGAAACACCTGAGTTATGCTACAGAAGAAACAGAAGTCCAGGGAAAAGGTGAAGCTTGTGGGAGGGTAACAAGCTCAAGGTGGAAAGCAACAGAGAAGGGAACTCAGAGAGGCAGGGTCTGCATGGCTGGCTCTCCCATGGACAGTCAGTCAGAGGACTTGGGAAACACAGAAGCTGGCCTGGCAGGCTCATTTACAGGCTTAACAGAAAAAATCTCAGGTGGCAAGATGCAAAAGAGGACAAAGCTCCTGAACCTTTGAGAATTTTGTAGAAGAGGGGATTTCAGCAGGTGTACTTTTTATGAAGCCACAGCTACTGCAATTTCCCCTACTATGCAACTCGTGAAAGTATCAAGCCTCCTTGAGTGAAGATTCAGAGACGGACAAAGAGCCATGAAAATTTAGTACCTGTGTTCCTTGTGCTCTGTCAGAAGGCAGAAGCGGCAAGTCAGAGCATCACAGGTCTCACAAAACACTTTGAGTGTCTCCTGGCTGTGCACTGGGCAAAACAAGGGAAATTCATTTGTTTCCACTTCTGTTCCTGGAAGAAGGATTAATACAAACTTAGTCCAGAGGCTTCTAGCATTTCTCTCTTCTATCCTGTATGACCTTTATCAAAACCAAAGCAGTTCAATGCCCCTGTTTTCAGCAACCCATGCAGAGCTGGCACAGATACATGAAGGTTCTACATGTCTCAAAATAGTCAAAAGCACATTTCTACCCTTCAGAGTTTTGCAGTGCAATCCTATATGTGCCCCTGAGTTCAATGGGACTTTTCCTCAGATAAGTGACTATAGCATTGCTTAGAGGTATTTTTGCTCACAGAATAGTCTCAAAGCCCGAGATAGGTGGGCTAGGGCCTCATCCAGACCTAATGCTCCCAAGGCTAGATTTAGCAGCAAGCAACCCAGGCCACTGTCTGCAGTGGAAAGCTGGGGGAGAAGTGCCATTGATTATCCACTCAATCACTGAAATAAATAGTCAAAACTATTTATATGACATCAATAAGTATGTACTGAGATATACTAACAAGCAAATTTATCATTTTAAAGACATAAACCATGCATACCAATCATGCATCAAAGTCATGAATGTGACTACAAAAGCAATATAAAACATAAGAGAATGAATGAATGAATGAATGAATGAATGAATGAATGAATGAATGAATGGCTGCTGCCACCATCCCTGCGATGAAGCAGATGAGCAAAAGGTATTGACTAGAGAAGAGAATGTGGCAGAAAAGCAAAATCCTTTTTGGAGTTCCACATAGCGTGCTCTTCTGCCTAACAATCTTTACGGATACTCTAGACTTTCTAGGCACCATCCAGCTGTACAAAATGGCGGCCAGGACCAGAAAAAAGTGACTGTGGCTCACGGGGGACACTGCCTTCCCATGCCATTCCCACAGCCAGCAGATGGAGTGCTTGTGGCCCTCCCACAGGTATTGAATTGACCACTGAGGGAGACAGAATGCTGAACTAGATGGGACATTGGCCTGATCCAGCTGGACAATTTTGATGTATTCTTAACATGAAACCTTGACAAATGGCCCCAAGGGAAGAGCTGGATGGAGAATGTGGGGCAGGGGAGAAAATGAGAGAATGCAGGCAGCAACTGGAAACATTCCACTGTTTCAGGGGTCATAGTTTCTGTGTCCTGGAGAGTTACATACCTCTCCCCATGGCTTTAATTCATGTTCCCCTGCTCCCATTTAATTATTTTCTTTCTCTGTTGAGTTTGGAATAGAGCGTGCAAGCTAATATTATTATGCAAAATAAACACATTTCCATATCTAGTCTATTTGCATAATCTAGTCTAAGCACATCATTTGAGTTTTCTTGGCACACAATTTAAACATTTGTCAGCAAAGCAGAAAGATGATAACCTGTGTCCTAAGCATAACCTTAATTTGCTTAATTCAGCCACTAAGCAATTCCGTTCTCAAAGCTCTCTATAAAATGCTTCTGTTTCTATGATATTATTTGTATTTCTGTATCCTCAGGCTACAATGCAGACTGTAGATTCCAAACTTTTCCTAAATCAGTAGGTCTATACCATTTTCCCTTTCCCCCAAAACTGTGCCTGATAAATATTGATGTACACATGCATCATATATCTTAGTCTCTCTAAGTTTGTTCTGATTCAGTCACTTAATACTAGCTTCAAAGGAAGGAAAACTACAGGGCACTAATGGAAGTTGGGCATAACCAGGCTTTTTTATTACTGGCATGCCTGTCTCCCAGAACAACATAGCTCTGAACAGCGAAGCAGAAATACATTTACTTTCTGTAGGCACATTTCCAGCCAAATTTCCACATTGAAGAGTTGTTCCACTTCATATGCACAAATTCACAACCATCTTCCTCCCTATTTAGATGTAGTGTGTAATAAAGCACAGTACATATTGCATTAATTTGTCATTTGCATATAAGATTGCTGCATATTTTATTGGAATATGCATTTTTAATTTTGGTGCTGTGTTTTATTCTTGATGTGGACATGTAATTATCTGGCATCTTCACTCTGTGGTGTCTTTATTTCTGTTTTAAATAAACAGAATTAACAAATTATGGAAAAGTCAGGCTCCCGGTGGCATTTTACACACTGACAGCTAGAAACTTGAGTTTTGCGTCAACAAAAATTACCAGTTGTAGGGGAAGAGGAGATAAAGGCAATGGGGTGAGTGGCCTGGAGTTCCCCTACAACTATCCCTTCCAAGTGACCATGTGCTCCTTAGAGGTGCAACTGCCTGGGGTACGGCCTGATTACCATCAGCAGCTGTGTGGGTCAGGAGATTCATTCTGGTTCCGGCCTCCTACCTGAGCAGATCAAAAGGAGGCCGCTCCAGCTGGTCTAGGAACAATTGGATACAGGCAACCAGACTCCCAGAGAGTGATCAGAGCAAGTGAACAGGGTGAGCTAACAGAGGTTCCGCAGCAGAGTTTAGCAGGGGAAGTCGAGGGAGAGGTCCCTAACTTTTTTCCCTTTCCCCTTAGTCCCCCCTCCCCAATTTGTTTTCTTCCTTGTAAAACACTCTCATTTGCTGGTAAGACTCTGCTGTTAACCTTCAGGAAAGACAGGAGAAAGTACCAGTTATTACAACAGACCCAGCAAGGTAGAATCAAAAAGGAAGCAGAAAGTATTGATCCAGAAGATTCCCCAGTGGTGGTGACCTGCAGGGCCTGTGCAATATTTGGTTTTTTGCCTGAGGTCAACATGCCCTACACATGCAACAAGTGCAAGCTTGTAGCCCTGTTGGAAGAAAAGGTAAGTGCCTGCCCTCAAGAGAATAAAAGAAGATGATGAGTTTTTAGACAGAGTGGTGGAACTACAACAGCTAAGAGTAGTACAGAAGCTAGAAGTACAACAGCAAGCTGAGGCAGAAGAAGAGAATCCTAAGGGAAGGGAAAATGGGAAGGAAATCCTCTGGAAAAGGGTGACAGGTGCAGAAGAACTAGAAAAACTAAAAGACATGGAACTGATTTAGTTACTCAGGGATGAGACTGCAGGGCAGCCTGCAATGGAAGAACTGCACGTTGTTCCATGGAACACTGAACAAAAGGCCAAAGATCAACCAAGTGATGGCACTGATACCAAGACTTGCAAGAACAAGAAAAGAATGGTGTTCGTGAGATGGGATCTCTCTGTTGCATGGGATGGAAACACATTTATGTCAGGAAGACCTGTAGATGCATCAGGTATGCTGTCTGTCTGGAGGACAGTTCAGAGATGCAACAGAAAGATTGCCAAGGCTCATAAAGCCCACTGACACCTATCTCTTCCTTCTTATACGTGTGGGAACAAATGACCCTGCAAGTACAGCTTTGATGAAATCACATCAGACTTTGAAGTTTTAGAGAAGAAAGTCAAAAACTTTGGGGCCCAGATAGTTTTCTCTTCAATCCTTCTTGGAAGACAGGGACAGAAAAATACTCCAAGTGAATGCCTGGCTACAAAGGCAATGCTGACTGAGATTTGGATTCTGGGACCACAGAGTACAGTTCCTGGAAGATGGAGTGCTGGATGGGTTGTTCTTACAAGGACTGGAAAGAACCACTGTCTATTATCCTTGAGAAAGCATGGATGATGGAAAATGTCACCTGACTGGAGAAGGGCTAATACTCTCATCTTCAAGAAAGGGAAAAAAAGAAGAACCTGGGAACTATAGACCAGTTGGTTGGACATCAATCCCTGGGAAAATTCTGGAGCAGATTATAAAGCTGCCAGTCTACAAATAGCTTGTAAAGTAGAATTAAACATGGTTACTAGAGGCCAACATGGATTTTTCAAGAACAAATCCTGCCAGACTACTCCGATTTCATTTTTTGATTGGGTAACCTCCCTGATGGACTGTCGGAATGCTGTGGACATATTCTATCTTGACTTTAGCAAAGCACTTGACAAAGTGCCCCATGATCTCCTTATAAGCAAACTAGCTAAAAGTGGACTAGATGGAACAACCATCTGGTAGATCCAAAGTTGGCTACAGAATAAGATTCAAAGAGTGCTCATCAATAGCACTTTCTCAAATTGGTGAGAAGTAACAAGTGATCTGCTACAGGGTTCAATCCTGGGTCCAGTGCTCTTCAACATTTTCATTAATGATTTGGATGAGGAAGGTACAGCAAACAATTAACAAATTAGCAGATGACACAAAACTTCTACTACTACTACTGATGTTCATAGTTTAGTGCCTTCTCTTGATGCCTTGAAATGTAAGCAAGGGTAAACCCATTTTAAGTTTCTTGCCCTGCTTGATGCTAGTCTCCTGGCAGTCTCCACACAAAGAGGCCAGGAAAGGTTAATAGTTTGGAACGCCAGGGTGCTTTCAGACAAGGCTTTTTCAGCACTTAGCCTCAAGATTCCAGACATTTTTTCTTCTCACATCCCTCCCATAGTCTCCATATTCTATTTTTTCATCCTTTTTTCTTACCATGGAGAATTCTTCAAGTAAGAACAGATGGAAAGTTACACAACTGGAGGTGGGAAATGGAAGAGATGGCTCTGTGTGACCCACACATGCCTCATCTCATGTCTCATCATGGTTTAAATAACCCACAGTGGGCTGTTCTAGCGTGAGAAAAGCCATTGACCTGGTTTCAACATAAAGGCTAACTATGGGTTCTTTAAGCTGCACACTCCTCATATCTACTTTCAATCAGCTATAATCAAAAAGCCAGGAACACTGTGTTCCTGAGTTGTTATTAGGATGTCCCAACCTGAAATTCTGAGTTAGTTTAAGGGTTAAACAACCCAGGGTTGATCCAACAACCATCCATGGTTTATTTTAGGGTTCACTCTGAATTCCAGGTTCAGTCCTCCTTCTGGGCAGACATGTACAGGATTGCACTGTTAATAGGATTACACTCTCCTAGATGCCATGCGGGTTTCAAGGTGCACCTAGAACTGCTGACACAAAAAAACCAAGTAATGGTTGGGTTCCCCATTCTGAAAACATAAAATCCTGTCACGCAGAACTATTTCCAAACTTAAGCAAAATACACAGGTTCTTCATTCTGTAGAGAAAAGTGGGAAAAACACACTTGGTAGTTTTTGTATTAGGTGGTGTGCTAAATTCAGCCTATTACACCTTTGCATTGATTTCCCTGGTTTGCCTGCTCCAGCTCAACTTCATCTCTGAAGCATCTGATTTCTACTGTGTCATTTTTATCCAAAAAGAGACCCTGATTTGACTGGGACACTCTTCCTGCTGAGCCCACCCATATGCACAGACACGTGCACAGACTGAACTACAGTGTCAACTGTCCAACATAAGGAAAAGAGGAGAGCTAGATTTCTACCTGAACACCCCTTCAGTGGAATCGGCAGGAAATGCTCCCCTGCTTCCTTGCCATGCCCATGTTCTTCTGTACACAAGCTGCACAGCCACTTATTGCAGGTAGTACACAAACTGTGTGCGGGCCTCTTCTCCTTACATCCAGAGCAATTCTGCAATAATAAGAACAACAAAAGTTTGGAGATTCATATAATCAACTTGGGGATACTTTTCATTAGCTTGTAGAGATGCATGTTCTTGATGTAAATTTGGAAGCTAGTCTTTGCGAGGGAGACATTTCCCTTACATTATTGCATTTTGAGGCTGACATAGCAGTGGTCACCTGATAAAAAGAGAATGATTAGCTGGCTGTAAGTTGTGCAGACAATTCATTAGTCCACTAGAAATACCATTTATCACACATATGTACACATGCAAAACACACTTAGCTAAGGAGGCTCACTGCACAATCCCACAATCCCCTGGTTGGCAGTGTGTGTGTGTGTGCGCGCGCAGGGGTGGGGTGGGGAATCCTCTGGTAGATGATAGATAAGGCATGAGTAGATTTTAAAAATGTCTGATAAATACTGAGTTAAGAATCAAAGAGAGGAAGACTTCTGAATATACCCCAAGGCAATCTCTTTAGTATTGCTTTGCAGTTCCCATGGGACAATCTGCCAAAAAGACATTCTAGGCCCCACCCTGATGCATCATTGAATAAATTAATCTTTGGGACAAGAAGGGAAAAACAAAGATCAAATTCAAAATAAATAAATAAATAAATACATAAATACATAAATTTCTTTTTAATGGTTTGCCAATTAATGTATCTATGTAAGACAGACATTTAAAGACACACCTCATCTAATCTATTGGCAATTCTCGGAAAGAAAAGGTAGAAACAGTGACCCCCAATCCTTTAGGTAAGTGGGGAGATTTTAGTTTGCTTTGCTTTTTAATGAGAGAAATAAAAGAGAGCATGATGCTAGTGGGCAGCTCTCAAATAAATTCAATAAATACAAATAAAGCAACTCTTTCCATGGGTGATATTTTGGTCCGGAATTTTAAGCTGCTTGCTATTTATGTATGATCATTAACTCTCCATGTGCACATAATGAATGTGTCCATGTGTCATGCTAAATTGACTCTGGCAATAGGCCACAGTGGGTTGGTTACTGGTGAAATTACCCAAGGTGAGCCCAACTGACAATGGAGCTGACTGTGGGTTTTTAGCTCCCTCCTTCCTGGTTAGTCCTTACACAATCTCCAGGAGATACGGCAGGAAGATCAAGCTGCCTTCCACAACTGTGAGCTGTTCCAACTTACCTTCCTTTCTCTGTTTTTTTCAGAGATTGCAAAAGCAGGCTTGAGATCCATTATCCTAGAAAAAAGGAGTTGTACCTAAACATGAGGGGAAAGTGCAAAATGTGCACTAGCTGGTGAACTAGCTGAGTGTGTTGGTGTTGGGGTTTTGGGGAGGATGATGAATATCTTGCCATGAAGCAGGTGTTAATCCCAGATGAACCCCTTTTCACATGTAAAGATGCCTTGTTCCTTTGATTTCTCTTGACAGTTTGCCTTTGGCAGGCATCAAGAGAAACAAAAGGAGGGAAAAAACAAGTTGGAACCTCTTTTTGGCAATGTCCAAGACAGGTACCTCCTGTACCTTGGCAGCAGATAACCCCTCCCTCATTCATTGCCCCAGCCTAGGCTTCAAATCACTATAGTCACTTCACTATGAAGGTTTGCAGTGGCACAACTGTGTCTAAATAAACAAACAAATAGTGATTGGGACTAATTAATGCAGAATAGAAGATAGATAGATAGATAGATAGATAGATAGATAAGATAAGATAAGATAAGATAAGATAAGATAAGATAAGATAAGCAAGCATTTTAATGTGCAAATCTTCTGCTATGTTCGGGCAACTACTCATAGACCATCCAAGACAACACTCAGGCACACTAAAGAGACTGTAAAAATGGGATATTTGAAAACTGGCTTTCATAATGTCTGGAAAAATGGAGGGAGAAGTGAAAAATATCCACAGTGAGCCCAAATTGCTGAAGGCAGGTGTGGAAGCCAGTGCCAGCAGCCCCCAAATGCCAGCCCTTTGTGGGTAAGCTGGCCCTGGTGGTCACTTGAAAGCTGCTTGATAAGAGCAGCAATATTTTACTGCTTTTGCCAGGTGGCCTTGTACCCAGTTTTCCACACCCACAATGAGGTCAGTCCCCTGGGTTCAGATAACACAACAACCAATCATGTGTACAACAGCCCATGGGCTGTTGGGGTAGATGTTGCCCACAAGCAAACTACTCTGGAAAAAATGGTCCAGGTTTACACCACACAACTCATCATGGGTAACAACTGACAATAGATTATGATGTCATTTGAATCCAGTCAGCAGATATTTAAGAAAGTTCTGTGTTGTTGGTGCCCTCTGGTTGTTTTGAGGAAGTGTGCTTTTCATGGTGCCGCTCTTAAAACTGAGGATGCGTTCAGATGGAGGGCTCCTAGCACTATGAGTCAAAAGCTATGCAGCTATGTATCTATTCCAACTTGGAGGAGTTTTTTTTTTTTTTTTTTTTTTTTTTTTTTGAAAGAAGAATTAGTAGGAAAACCCCAGCATGTTACAAGTGGAAGATAACACTGCTGGACTTCCTGTAAAATTCCATAGAGATGACAGAAATTGCTTGATAAAAGCCTTGTATGGAAGAATCCTGAATGTGTACTAATTCATGAACCAGGTTAGAGCCACAACAGGAAGCAGACTGGAATCCTACTTATTTTAATTCCAAGTTGTATGAAGTGTGAATAAGGTTTTTTTTTTTTTTACGCATACCATTTCAGTGACATACTACTATAATCCCATAAAAGAGCATAGGGATTTTTTCATAACTGATTATTGCATTTACCTACAACTATTTGGCACTTTGTTCAAACATTTACATCTTTTTTATTTATTTACAGTATTTATTTAAAACTTTTCTCTACTGTCCCATTACAGATATCTCGGGATGGTTTACAACTCCATTAATAAAATAGAATAGAATAGAAATAAGAATAGGAGTGGCACAGCATCCGATATTAAATATAAAACCACCAATTAAAACAAATTAACAATTAAAATATTGGAAGAATAAAAATGTTTACACCTGACGCCTAAAGAAGCATTGGCGCCAGGCGAACCTCTCTGGGGAGCGTGTTCCACAGTACAGTATTTGTATTTTGTAGTACAATATGCAGCTTTATATGACATTGCTTTCATTTTAATTGGAGGTATTTACATAACTTTCTACAAGATATTTTTTCTCGATTTGCATTGTACTGGCACTTTAATTATCGCAACCTGTTGTCTCTTCTGTGTTGGCAAATGGATCTGCATGAATGGTCCTGCTTTGAAACACGTTTGAAACATAAGGTCAAAGGACATGTTCTTCAGTAGTTTTCCATACTACAGTTCTCTTTGCCTACAATTCCTCTACACACTGTCAATAAAAGTAACCTACTATCAGTATGTATAACATAAAGTAACACATGACATTTTAGATCAGATCCCAGCAGAAAAACTTCTCTTAAATAAGGACAAATAAGCAAAAAAAGACATAATTTTCTATTGATACAACTGACCTAGATCTACGAAATGACTACTAAAACTACTAGTAACAAAGCACTACATATTTCACTACTTTTTTCACTTTCCTAAGAAAAGGGGAAATTCTTTCAAATAGGACTAGTCATCTGATGCTCTCAGTGTTTAGGACTTCAACTCATACTGGCTGGGGCTGATGGAAGTTGTTACCTACCCCTGCTCTAAAGAGTGAATATTTCTTAGGAAAATGAAACAGCAAATGAATGACATGGAGCTTTCTTTGTTTGTGACAAAGCAGTTGTATCAGCTTTGGAGCTACTTTACCTTGGCTTTAGTTTCAACCCATGGAACAGTGGAGGGGAGGAGTAAATTGCACTATCAAAAACAGAGTAAGAAATGAAGTAATGCAACATGCTTCTTTTCTCTATGATAATATTAGCTCTGAAAATGTGATGTATTTTCAACTGATGCCAAACTTACCATGATTCTACGATGAACCTAGGGAGAAAGATAAAAATCTCTGTGGCCAGGACATCAGACATTATGCAGAGTGCACTGCGGAGGAAGAATGCCTAACTATTCATATAGTTTTATTGAGGATCACAGTTGCTTCCACCCAACTTTCTTGTGTTTGGTAAGTTTATAAATATAAACTACTGTCCTACCTTGGATCAAGCCCTACAGCACACAGTGGGACTTGACTTTTTGTAGGTATGTTTAGAATTGCACAGTGATTACAATGTAATCACAAGCATATTTATTCAAAAGTAAGTCTTACGGAGCTCTGTGGGACTTACTCCAATGTATGGATGAGTTGAGTACTGTATTCTTAATTGCAGATAATGGCCATGATCTAGCAGAGTTGATTAATGTGCTGGAAGGAGGGGAGAGTTTGGGAACAGCTATTTCTTCCTTAATTGTATAAGTCATATTTCAGTATAAAACTCCCAGTGTGGTCTACATTTCAAAATGTAATGTAGGTTTTCAAAAGACAAAACCTAAGTATAAAATGGTAGAAAACAGAAGCCACAACAAATCAATAACATGCAAAAACTCAACAATAAACCAGCTATGACAGATATTGATGTATGAGAAAATAAAGGAATTGTTTGTCTGACACCAAAAAGACATCAAGTTGACACCAGACAAGTTTTCTGGAGAGATCATTGCATATACAAGAAGCTACAATCAAGGAAGTTCTTTCTTACCCACTACCCACCTAATTTTAGAGATTAGTAGAGATACTTATAGACAGAGGAATATGAACATAAACAAGAAGGTTAAGGAAAAGAACATATGATGGACTTCTTTTGATCCATAATCACAGTTAAATTGGATCCTACCTTAAACATGCTAAGGGACATGTAACCACCTCCATGACATCCCCAGGACAGGGAAACCCTACCCCAGGTGTGGGGGCCAGATCCAGCCACCAGTGGGATGTGACCCCCGGAGCATCTCCAAAATGGACCTTGGGCTAAAAGAGGCGCAACACCCCTGCCCCAAATGCATGCCAAGCAACCCCTCTCAGACCAGGAGAATCCAACAGCAGCAAGAGAACAGGACTGCCACATATGCCACTGAGTGGCCAAGCCCAGCCTATGTGGTCCTACTTGCCCCTTCACACTCTCAAACTGGATGCCTGAAGGGGGTTTTATGTTCGTATAATCAGTACATTTTAAAAACCTACACATTTTGCAATGATAAGACATACTCCACCTATTTCTTTTGCTACTTACACTATTCACTTGCTGGAAAATGTGCATATCAGTCTAAAACCCTTGTCCTATTTTTGCTGTGAAGAGATGAACAGAAAGCAAACACCACTGCGAGTCAGAATATAAAATATTCCAATTAAATGTTATAGTAAACCTCCTATTGTGCCTTTTTAAAAAGCCGATCAAATTATCTAGTAGGATCTCTCTATTTTTTTGTTCCCAGGCAACACTGTTAGGGTGATGAACCCCTAGAGGGCCATTTGTGGAAAAACAAAACCTGCAGGCTCTTCCAGGAGTGTTATTTTTTAAGAAGGCAGACCATCGCTAGTGCATATGTCTTCAAGGCACTGTAGAAATATGAATCATCCTCACCAGGCTTTTCTGGAGCTGATGGTCCAGTGTTACACTTCCTCCTGGTTTCCTCAGTTCAAGATTCACAAAGCAGGGAAAGGATGGTGAAGAACTAGTATGGCTAGCAAAATAGTAAGATGCAAGGCTCAAAAGTAGAATGAAGAAAGAATAGAGGATATTTAAGGAATTAGAACTTCATAAATTTCCATACAGACAAGCCTGATTCATATTTCTTGGGGTAATGTGTGGATTAGATAAAGTATTTGAATTTCACACTTCTCTCAATTTTGTGATGTAGTTCTTGGCTCAAATGAAGTATCTCTCTCTGTGTGTGGTATGTGTATGTGTGTTTTAGGAAATATATATTTTGAGATAAAGGAGGCATTCTAAAATATATTTTATAAGAAAATACATTCAAAAACATCTATCAATGCAATTTTTGTGAGGCTTTAAAAACAAAATAAATGCAGATGAATACAGAAATGGAACAGAACAGACTTACCAATGAATACATGAAAAAGAGAAACAGACCACCCATCTATCACTGAGTACAATTTTCCTGGTAGGCATATTTGAGAAGGACACTGTGAAAGATCCTAAAGTAAAACCTAACCTTACTTACAATGTAGAATGGTCCTAATGTGACGATTGATTAAGGTCATTTTTAAGATAAGTGTATACTGGTAAGACTTTTTAGTATAACTGATTATCAGCT